AGATGTTTGACAAATATCTTCCCTGTTGTCTTCATCTTATGGGAAACTTAAATTTCCTAAACCAAGAATAAACCAAGTGTCCCCAAGCTCTCCATTCTTAGGGCAGCTTTCTCTTTCATATCCAAATGACATCATCCAGGCCCCAGTGGTGTACACAGGAAGACTTGACTGTTTCTCAAGTGTTTCTGAGAATCCTTAGGAAGTGATTATATGTTCCACAAATTTATCTTAGTTGGGCCACGTCTCTCACTCTAGGTCAGTACCCTCAACTTCTCCATTTTGCCACCTTTTCTCTCTGCTACAGTTCACTCTTTCTACCCTTGTATGGAAAGAACCATATCACTTTATTTCTTTAAGCCCAACTGAGATGCACTCAACTTCATCAGACTTTGTTAAAGCTTGAGGATGGTTGAAGGGAATGACAATGCAGAAAAAGGAAATCCAGAGCTGAATACCAAACATTTCTGTCCTTGAGCGCACAGCATTTCTCTTTACAGGGCACCCACTATGGTCATCTTTCTCCCTAGCAGATGATTTAATCCCTGTCTTGTGATGTCATGAAAAACAGTTCTCTTCTTAAGTTGCCTCTTTATGAACCTAAGGCCTCAGCCTGCAGTCTCATAACCCCATCAAAAGAATGAAAAAATAAAATTAATTAACATCATAATCCCCAAGAGATATACCCTGCTTACAGTGCACAACGTTTGTTTGAGAAACTTAGTCTAGGCTGAGCACAAACCTTTCATATTACCACTTTGGTTCTAAATTTTCCCTGGCACAGGAAGTGAGAAATGACATCTCTAAGGCAACAAAGGCTCACCCAAGAGCCTCTGCTAAGCCATAGATTTCATCTTTCTCTACAGAATGCAGAAACCAATCACTGACATTTTGGAACTAAATTTAAGGAGGCTTGCGGGGAGTCTTGAGGGCATTCTGACCCTGTGAACAAGCAGACTTGTGAAGGTGAGTGTTTAGGTTCTGAGGATGCAGCAGTCTAATAAGTCAGACCCAGACTTCAGTCTAATGAGACCTTTAAACAAGAAGACAAGTGGTTTTATCAGCCACTAAGTACCACAGTAGGGCATCCCACAGGGCTGTGGGGTCTGAGAGGAGCAGCTCTATATCTTATAAAGCACCAAATGCACTTGAAGGCTGTGGCTTTGAGGGTAATTCTGATTAAACCCCTTGAGTTTTGACACCTGGCAATCTAGGAATTCCTTTACGAAAAATAACTAACCACACCACCATAAAACCACATGTTCTTCTTAAAGTTTCCGTGGCATCTTGGAGACTAAATAGCTCTCATGAAACAATCTCTCTCAGGAGTTAAGGAAACATTGGACAATATTTATTTTAAGTATGTATTAGAAATTAAGAAAGGGAGGGATCTGAAAATAAAGAATGGCTGAGCCCTAAAATGATGAAACAGTTGAAACACAATTTAATATGTGGTGCAGAATGCAGGGATAATCGTACATTTTCTGGACAGCAAAAATTCTAAATTATTTTATTGTTGTAATTAAATTGCATCTTTATATCAAAATTGTTATACACTTGTTGTAGTGTAGAATAATACTGAGGAGCATAGGTTTGTAGAAGCAGAAAATCTACTTAAATCTAAGCTCTGCCACTCCTTAGGCAAATTATGAGCCTCTCTAAGCTCCAAATCGAATATCTATAAAGTAGGATTATTTTGATAATGAAAAAAATGTAATTAAGTTAGAACACTCAATAAATGCTAGTTGTTATTGCAAAATGCAATTAAGAAAATTCTGGAAAATTTGAAGTAAATTAAGATGATCCTTTATTCCGCCGTCTAAAGCCAACCACTATTAAAATTGCAGAGTTTAGATACATTTGTTCCATGATGTATGTATGTTGAGGGTGGGAGTGGGGTCTCTATTTCAGAAATATGGATTTATTCATCATCTGATACATAGTTTTTGAAGTGCTTTTTAACTGGTCTGTATCTTAGACATCTTTTTATGTCAGTAAACGTCAGTGTAATTCATCATTTTAGTGGCTGCATTTTGTTCCATTATATGGCAATGACAATATTTTACTAATGATGTTATTTATTATATTTATGTTTTTATTTTCCACTACTTCTTCACTATTATTTTTATAAACACACACAATGAACATCACTATACAGTGCATTTTTAGCATTTGTCCTATTGTTTACAGAAATATAACTGTTTTGTCAACAAATGCACTCCTTCACCTATTTGATAGCTATCATCGAAGTGCCCTCCACATGCTGTACAAGAATGTCTGGGCATGTACCTGAGCACAGGGGCTTTCCAAGCCCTGATGTCCTGGAAGTTCAGAGCGCTGATTATGGCTGTACATATCTCGGTCCAGCCAGACACCTTGCCTGGATTGGTGAACATTTAGTCAAGTCAGAGTTTCTACTGAATGTATGATTCTAGATAAGGTTCTTCTTTAAAATTTCTTGGCCTCAATCCCTTAGCTTGTAAAATTGGGATAAAATACACATTATAGTTGAGAAAATTAAGAGGTAATATAATAAAATTTATAAGGCCTGAGTCATCATAGGCACTTAATACATATGTGCTCCTTTCCTCCATTATTTCTGTAAACTGTGAGTTTTTATGCCATGTGCCATGTGCCTTGTAATACGTAGATGCTCAGAAACTTACGTTGCTGTTTGAATCATTGTACTCCTGAAAAAGCTATTAGGAAGTAATGGGTCAAAGAGGATATCCATAGAGTTAGCTATCTATGGAGTCAGAGTCGAAGATGGATAAGAAGGCAGAGGAGGAAGAGAGATGGGGAGGAGGAGGGAGAGGTGGAGGACTGAATTTTGAAGACAGGTAAACCTAGGGTTCAAGTCTAGCCCTGTCCCTTACTAGCTGTGTGAGTTGGGGCTTTGAGTTAACTTCCTTGAACCTCAGTTTCCTGATCACTAATGTGCCGTTAATGACTTCTTTCTCAACATGCTCTCGTGAGGATTAATTGCAAGAGTGCAAGGAAAGTGTTCCGAGTACTGCAGACAAACACCAGATGCCCAACAAAAGGCAATCGTTATCTATTGTTGCCATTATTATTTCCTCTGTTGACATTACTATTCCATCATTATGTCCATTGTTGACATTCTTAAGCGTTGCTTCTTGTGCTTTACTCTCCAGGAAACCTTTGTGACTTAGCACAATAAATCTATTATGGCCCCCAGTGAGCCACTTGAGTGTCATTTATCCATTCATTCATGGGAAAGATTAGAGCCACACATTGAATTTACCTCTTCGTTGATCCTCGTTGATCCCAAGTGGATAGTGACTGAACAATTAATACAGGTTGTGGACTTAGGAATCAGGAAAGCTCAGCATGGAAACAGAGCCTTTTCTGTCTTTTGCTTTCTGCAGACAATCTGCTCATCATTCCTTGCTAACAACCATTATCATATGTGTGTGTTTGTGTGTGTGTGTGTGTATGTTAACGTATGTTCCTTTATTTTGTTGTTTTTGTTTGCTAGTTTGCTTTTTTGTATTTTGTCACAAAAGGGGAAAAAGATGTAAGACCAGATCTTGAAGCCAGAATAGATCATGGCCTAACCACTTCGTTCACTGTAAGAGCTGGTGATAAAGGAAATCTCTGGGGTAAGGCTTTCTGACAGCTGCACCATAATGGACTTACAGAGATGAGATTAGATGAAAAGGAGGGTTTGGGGGAGGGTTTTGTTTGTTTGTTTGTTTTTTGGAGGGTTTTGTTTGTTTGTTTGTTTTTGCATTACCCCTGACTTCAAACTCCCCAGACTGTCTAGAATACAAAAGAACCATAAGGTGTGAAGTATGCCAGAGAGATTATATTCACGGGTCTTCTAGGTCATGAAGGGTACACACACCCTTCAGGGAAGCCCAGTTAAATGCTCAGAGGAAACTCATCTGTATCTTCTCATAGAAAGAGGCCTTTCTAATAAATGATTACTGATGCTTAACCCCCTCTTCAAAGGGGGTTTGCAAAAACAGTTTAAAGCAAATTATTATAGGTGAAAGTCAATCTAAAATAGTCTGTGTACCTCTCTGATGATCTTAAACTTAGCTACTAGCTTTTTGTTGGTTCAGCAACCCAGTGCTATGTCGTAGAGGAGCTAAGTTTCTTTGTCTGCTTTGCTTTTATTTTTCCTCTTCTATCCTCAAGCTGTCAAGCCTTCTATTGACATTTTCACTGTTCACGACAGCTCCTCTTTCTTTTCCAATTCACTTATAGTTAATCTGCTGCGGGATGAAAAAAAAAAGCAAATAACCAAGCTTGCAAAATAGTGTGTTTAATAAGATTTCATGAGCCCCAGCAGGAGACCCAGAGGGTTTGTACCTTCATTCATTAAATTCCATCTATAAATATTTACTGGGGCTCCTTGTGGTAATCCACAGACTGTGACTAGTTCTAGGCAGTAAAGCACATTGTTTGGGGGCTGTAACTTTTTGAAAAAGTGTATTCCCATTTTCAGGAGCCTTTTCAAATGTCTGAGCTTATGGCTAAGTTGTGAATGGTCAATACTGTGAACTTGTGAGCTCTGAAGATTTGATTAATTACTGAACCTCTCTGCCTATATATGTGTGGATTTCCTCATCTCCCAAAGCATCAACGCACATAATCTTTTGTTTTGATCTTGTATCTGAGGTAAGCAAGGTCAAAACTTTTATCTACTACTTAGAACACAGGGAAAGGAGACTCATAAACTATGGATCATTTCAAAGCCTTTAAAATATCAGACTAGAATCGACTCTGCACTTAGGTGAAAACCCACGTCCGAAACCTTTATCCAAGCCTCGAAGAAGAATTTTTACATCTCTTATTGCCATGTTTAAGATCCCATATTGGAAAGAGGACTGGTCCAAGAGTCAGGAGACTTGGATTCTAGTCTGAAATCCACAAGGAACTCACAAGCAAGCATCTCTGGACCCCAGCTTTCTCTCTTTTCCTCTGTAAAGTGAGGCCAATCATATCTGCCTCATACAATAAAGTGATGACATATTTTAATACACTATTATTAAGCCAGGTGTATTACCAAGCCCCTTAGCAACCTTGGACCTAACCAAAGATGGAATAAAACCCTTTCCTCCATGGTAGCAGGGTCCCACCTGCCAGTTTACAGACCTCCCTTCCTGCAGGTGGGAGGCTTTTGCAGTAGCAAACCCCCAGATAATAGAGACACAAAGAAGCTGTTTGTATGGACAGTCTCTCCTGCAGCCCCGCTCACCTCATTCCTTCTACACTAGGCTGAGCAGGAGGGGCAATTCCGGGAAAGGCTGCAGACGTTCAGCAGAGGCCGCCCTGGGAACCGCATTGTGTTTCCCTCTCGCTGGCCGCTGGCTGGACTGAGGTCATGCACGGGGACCAGCACCAGCTCCGACCAGACTCCTTGCAAGAATTTTAATGACAGGATTCCTGGAAACAAGATGGCTGAGTAGAAGGACGTGCTCTCACTCCCTCTCGCGAGAACACCAGAATCACAACTCACTGCTGAACAGTCATCAAAAGGAAGACACTGGAACTCACCAAAAAAGATAAACCAGATTCAAAGACAAAGGAGAAGCCACAATGAGACGGTAGAAGGAGTGAAATCACAGAAAATCAAATCCCATAACTGCTGGGTGGGTGACTCATAAACTGGAGAACACTTATACCACAGAAGTCCACCCACGAGAGTGAAGGTTCTGAGCCCCACGTCAGGCTTCAGAACCTGGGGGTCCGGCAACGGGAGGAGGAATTCCTAGAGAATCAGACTTTGAAGGCTAGTGGGATTTGATTGCAGGGCTCTGACAGGACTAGGGGAAACAGAGACTCCACTCTTGGAGGGCACACACAAAGTAGTGTGCGCATCGGGACACAGGAGAAGGAGCAGTGACCCCAGGGGAGACTGAACCAGACTTACCTGCTAGTGTTGGAGGGTCTCCTGCAGAGGTGGAGGGTGGCTGTGGCTCACTGTGAAGACATGGACACTGGCAGCAGAAGTTCCAGAAAGTACTCCTTGTGTGAGCCCTCCCAGAGTCCACCATTAGCCCCACCAAAGAGCCCCGGTAGGCTCCAGTGTTGGGTTGCCTCAAGCCAAACAACCAACAGGGAGGGAAGCCAGCCCCATGCATCAGCAGTCAAGCGGATTAAAGTTTTACTGAGCTCTGCCCACCAGAGCAACAGCCAGCTCTACCCACCACCAGTCCCTCCCATCAGGAAACTTGCACAAGCCTCTGAGACAGCCTCATCCACCAGAGGGCAGACAGCAGAAGCAAGAAGAACTACAGTCCTGCAGCCTGTGGAACAAAAACCACATTCACAGAAAGACAACACAGAAAGGCAGAGGGCTATGTACCAGACGGAGGAACAAGATAAAACCCCAGAAAAACAACTAAATGAAGTAGAGATATGCAACCTTCCAGAAAAAGAATTCAGAAGAATGATAGTGAAGATGATCCAGGACCTTGGAAAAAGAATGCAGGCAAAGATGGAGAAGATGCAAGAAATGTTTAACAAAGACCTAGAAGAATTAAAGAACAAACAAACAGAGATGAACAATACAATAACTGAAATGAAAACTACACTAGAAGGAATCAATAGCAGAATAACTGAGGCAGAAGAACGGATAAGTGACCTGGAAGACAGAATGGTGGAATTCACTGCCATGGAACAGAATAAAGAAAAAAGAATAAAAACAAATGAAGAAAACCTAAGAGACCTCTGGGACAACATTAAACGCAACAACATTCGCATTATAGGGGTTCCAGAAGGAGAAGAGAGAGAGAAAGGACCCAAGAAAATATTTGAATAGATTATAGTCGAAAACTTCCCTAACATGGGAAAGGAAATAGCCACCCAAGTCCAGGAAGCACAGAGATAAACAGGATAAACCCAAGGAGAAACACACCGAGACACATAGTAATCAAACTGGCAAAAATTAAAGACAAAGAAAAATTATTGAAAGCAGGCAGGGGAAAAACAACAAATAACATACAAGGGAACTCCCATAAGGTTAACAGCTGATTTCTCAGCAGAAACTCTACAAGCCAGAAGGGAGTGGCATGATATACTAAAAGTGATGAAAGGGAAGAACCTACAACCAAGATTACTCTACCTGGCAAGGATCTCATTCAGATTCGATAGAGAAATCAAAAGCTTTATAGACAAGCAAAAGCTAAGAGAATTCAGCACCACCAAACCAGCTTTACAACAATCGCTAAAGGAACTTCTCTAACTGGGAAACACAAGCAAGAAGAGGACCTACAAAAACAAACCCAAAACAATTAAGGAAATGGTCATAGGAACATACACATTGATAATTATCTTAAACGTGAATGGATTAAATGCTCCAACCAAAAGACACGGGCTTGCTGAATGGATACAAAAACAAGACCCATATATATGCTGTCTACAAGAGACCCACTTCAGACCTAGGGACACATACAGACTGAATGTGAGGGGATGGAAAAAGGTATTCCATGCAAATGGAAATCAAAAAAAAGCTGGAGTAGCAATACTCATATCACATAAGGTAGACTTTAAAATAAAGAATATTACAAGAGACAAGGAAGGACACTACATAATGATCAATGGATCAATCCAAGAAGAAGATATAACAATTATAAATATATATGTACCCAACATAGGAGCACCACTATACATAAGGCAAAAAAGAGGAAATCGACAGTAACACAGTAATAGTGGGGCACTTTAACAACTCACTTACACCAATGGACAGATCATCCAAAGTGAAAATAAATAAGGAAAGAGAAGCATTAAATGACACAATAGACCAGATAGATTTAATTGATATTTACAGTACATTCCATCCAAAAACAGCAGATTACACTTTCTTCTCAAGCGCACACGGAGCATTCTCCAGGATAGATCACATCTTGGGTCACAAATCAAGCCTCAGTAAATTTAAGAAAATTGAAATCATATCCAGCATCTTTTCTGACCACAACGCTATGAGATGAGATGAATTAAAGGGAAAAAAACGTAAAAAACAAAAACACATGGAGGCTAAACAATACGTTACTAAATAACCAAGAGATCACTGAAGAAATCAAAGAGGAAATAAAAAAATACCTAGAGACAAATGACAATGAAAACACGATGGGGCTTCACTGGTGGTGCAGTGGTTGAGAGTCCGCCTGCCGATGCAGGGGACACGCGTTCGTGCCCCCGTCCGGGGGGATCCCACATGCCACGGAGCAGCTGGGCCCATGAGCCATGGCCGCTGGGCCTGCGCATCCGGAGCCTGTGGTCCGCAACGGGAGAGGCCACAGCAGTCAGAGGCCCGCATACCACAAAAAAAATTTAAAAACCCCACAATGATCCAAAACCTATGGGATGCAGCAAAAGCAGTTCTAAGAGGGAAGTTTATAGCTAGAAAAATCTCCAAAAATCTCAAATAAACAATCTATCCTTACACCTGAAGGAACTAGAGAAAGAAGAACAAACAAAACCGAAAGTTAGCAGAAGGAAAGAGATCATAATTATCAGAGCAGAAATAAATGAAATAGAAACAAAGAAAACAATATCAAACATCCATAAAACTAAAAGCTTGTTCTTTGAGAAAATAGACAAACCATTAACCAGGCTCATCAAGAAAAAAAGGGAGAGGGCTCAAATTAATAAAATTAGAAATGAAAAAGGAGGAGTTACAACAGACACCACAGAAATACAAAGCATCATAAGAGACTACTACAAGCAACTCTATGCCAATAAAATGGACAACTTGGAAGAAATGGACAAATTCTTAGAAAGGTATAACCTTCCAAGACTGAACCAGGAAGAAATAAAAAATATGAACAGACCAATCACATATAATGAAATTGAAACTGTGATTAAAAATCTTCCAACAAACGAAAGTCCAGGACCAGATGGCTTCACAGGTGAATTCTATCAAACATTTAGAGAAGAGCTAACACCCATCCTTCTCAAAGTCTTCCAAAAAATTGCAGAGGAAGGAACACTCCCAAACTCACTCTATAAGGCCACCATCACCCTCATATGAAAACCAGACAAAGATACTACAAAAAAAGAAAATTACAGACCAATATCACTCATGAATATAGATGCAAAAATCCTCAACAAAATACTAGCAAACAGAATCCAACAACACATTAAAAGGATCATACACCATGATCAAGTGGGATTTATCCCAAGGATGCAAGGATTCTTCAGTATATGCAAATCAATCAATGTGATACACCATATTAACAAATTGAAGAATCAAAACCATATGATCATCTCAATAGATGCAGAAAAAGCTTTTGACAAAATTCAATACCAATTTATGATAAAAACTCGCTACAAAGTGGGCATAGAGTGAACCTACCTCAACATAATAAAGGCCATATATGACAGACCCACAGCAAACATCATTCTCAATGGTGAAAAACTGAAAGCATTTCCTGTAAGATCAGGAACAAGACAAGGATGTCCACTCTCACCACTATTATTCAACATAGTTTTGAAAGTCCTAGCCATGGCAATCAGAGAAGAAAAAGAAAAAAAAAGATTATAAGTTGGAAAATAAGAAGTAAAATTGTCATAGTTTGCAGACGACATGATACTATGCCTAGAGAATCCTAAAGGTGCCACCAGAAAACTACTAGAGCTAATCAATGAATTTGGTAAAGTAGCAGGATACAAAATTAATGCACAGAAATTTCTTTCATTCCTATATACTAATGATGAAAAATCTGAAAGAGAAATTAAGGAAACACTCCCATTTACCATTGCAACAAAAAGAATAAAATACCTAGGAATAAACCTACCTAGGGAGACAAAAGACCTGTATGCAGAAAACTATAAGACACTGATGAAAGAAATTAAAGATGATACCAACAGATGGAGAGATATACCATGTTCTTGGATTGGAAGAATCAATATTGTGAAAATGACTCTACCACCCAAAGCAATCTACAGATTCAATGCAATCCCTATCAAATTACCAATGGCATTTTTTACGGAACTAGAACAAAAAATCTTAAAATTTGTATGGAGACACAAAAGACCCTGAATAGCCAAAGCAGTCTTGAGGAAAAAATACAGATTTGGAGGAATCAGGCTCCCTGACTTCAGACTATTCTACAAAGCTACAGTAATCAAGACGATATGGTACTGGCACAAAAACAGAAACACAGATCAATGGAACAAGATAGAAAGCACAGAGATAACCCCACGCACCTCTGGTCAACTAATCTATGACAAAAGAGGCAAAGATATACAGTGGAGAAAAGACAGTCTCTTCCATAAGTGGTGCTGGGAAAACTGGACAGCTACATGTAAAAGAATGAAATTAGAACACTCCCTAACACCATACACAAAATTAAACTCAAAATGGATTAGAGACCTAAATTAAGACTGGACACTATAAAACTCTTAGAGGAAAGCATAGGAAGAACACTCTTTGACATAAATCACAGCAAGATCCTTTTTGACCCACCTCCTAGAGAAATGGAAATAAAAGCAAAAATAAACATGTAGGACCTAGTGAAACTTCAAAGCTTTTGCACAGCAAAGGAAACCATAAACAAGATGAAAAGACAACCCTCAGAATGGGAGAAAATATTTGCAAACGAATCAACAGACGAAGGATTAATCTCCAAACTATATAAACAGCTTATGCAGCTCAATATTAAAGAAACAAACAACCCAATTCAAAAATGGGCACAAGACCTAAATAGATATTTCTCCAAAGAAGACATACAGATGGCCAAGAAGCAGATGAAAAGCTGCTCAACATCACTAATTATTAGAGAAATGCAAATCAAAACTACAATGAGGTATCACCTCACACCAGTTAGATTGGGCATCATCAGAGAATCTACAAACAACAAATGCTGGAGAGGGTGTGGAGAAAAGGGAACCCTCTTGCACTGTTGGTGGGAATGTAAATTGATGCAGCCACTAAGGAGAACAGTATGGAGGTTCCTTAAAAAACTAAAAATAGAATTACCATATGATCCAGCAATCCCACTACTGGGCGTATATCCAGAGAAAACCATAATTCAAAAAGACACATGCACCCCAATGTTCATTGCAGCACTATTTGCAATAGCCAGGTCATGGAAGCAAAGCAACCTAACATCAGCAGACGAATGGATAAAGAAGATGTGGTACATATATACAATGGAGTATTATGCAGCCATAAAAAAGAATGAACCTGGTCCCTTTGTTGAGATGCAGATGGATCTAGAGACTGTCACACAGAGTGAAGTAAGTCAGAAAGAGAGAAACAAATATCGTATATTAACGCCTATATGTGGAACTTAGAAAAATGGCACAGATGAACTGGTTTGCAGGGCAGAAATTGAGAAATAGATGTAGAAAACAAATGTATGGGCACCAAGGGGGCAAAGCGGTGGGGGTTGGGGGGGTGGTGTGATGAATTGGGAGATTGGGATTGACACGTATACACTGATGTGTATAAAATTGATGAGTAATAAGAACCTGCTATATAAAAAAATAAATAAAATTTTAAAAAGAAAAAAATTTCAATGTCATGTGCTGAAGACTAACAGATGATTGCCTTCTCCTCCTGTACAGGCTGAGGCCAGACACCAGCTCTCCAGATGTGCCTCTCTCAGGAGTTCTAGCAACAAGCCCCCAGTGGTCCCTCGGTAAGGTAGGACCACATGCCACACTGCCTTTGTCTTAAATCTGGTGATGTAACAGAGACATGTGGGCGGCTAAGGGCCTAGAAAAGACAAACCTGGGTCAATTTCAGCCCTGGCACTTTCTTGCTATGCAATTTTTCTTAAAATGCACATTCCTTATCTCTAAAAAGGGGATAGCCACCTTTTGTAAAGATTTAATGAAATAGTGTAAGGTGCACATTCCTGTGTGGCACAAAGCATATGCTTATAATTTATTAGTCCCCATTCTTTCCCCAACCTACCTAGCAGATCCAGTGGAAATCACTGTATTCCCTGGAAGAGGTGGTGATAAAGGAAATCTTCAGGGCAAGTTCTTTCTGACAATCTCACCATGAAGGGTTTATAGAGAGGAAGATGAAAAACAGTAATCTTTTGTCTTGTTGGATTTTTTGGCGTTGCCTAGATAGCAAACACATCGGATACCCTAGGATACATAATTGACTAGTGTTTGTCACATTCCCTCCTGCCTTCTAACCTTCCACCCTGCTCCTTGGTTCTCTGGTGCCTGTCCTGCCCTCTGTCCTTCCCTGCCCTTGGTGGGAGGGCGAGGGGATGTGCGGAGAGGACAAGACTGCTGCTCCCCAGCCCACCCACACAGCACCCACTTATGTGGAAGGAGACGAGAGCAAAGAAAGGAGATGGCCGGGGGTGGTTCCCTCTCTGCCCCTAGGAACCACCCTTCTCGTTTGAACCCCTGAAAAAGCCTCCTTGCCTAGGTCGGTTCTGACCCACAGCCATGGCCTGTTGAGAGCATTTTGCAGCTGTGAGAGTTGTAACTAAGTGTGATGTTTTACAGATCTGTGAATGGATCTAACAATGCTCTGGGGATGCTCCTTTCTGAGTCAGGAGACCTTTTAGTGGCACAAGAATAACAACAGCGGTTACGATTTGAGTACTCACTATAAGCCCGAGCATTGTGGTAAATGTTTTATAGCCATTACTGATACTTAAGGACATGAAGAGTAAGAGAGATTAAGCAACACTGATAAGGACTACATCTAGAAAGTGGCAAAACCAGGGTCCACACCTAATTCTGGCTGAATCCAAAGTCGGTTTCCTAAACCTCTCTGCTGCTGTGCTTCTCGTGATTGGTCTGGGCTGGTCTTACAGGGTTGCTCAGCCTGTGGCCTCTCCAGCTTAAGAAAGCAGCAGCATCCGCGATGATGGTGATGCCTTATGTCCCTTGCGCCTAGAGGCTCTTTCTGGGGTGTGGCAGTCATGTCAGCTCGCTGAGTCTGATCACCTGTTAGTCAGAGGGAGATCATACTAGTACGGGCTCTCTCCACCTTAACTACCAACCCGCTGAGATTGACCCTGAAGCGACAAATGAGATCTTCTAAATAACTTCCCCAGTGCAGAACCTGGCACACAGAGCCACGTTAATTCTCCTTTCCCCTTTCCGGTGCCCAAGGCGAGAATCATGCTAGTTTCTTGGAGAAAAGTTCAGTGTCTGCCTATCATTAGGCCAGTTAGGTTTCTATCTTTGGGAATTTTATATAATAAATGATATTTGATCAAACATCACAAAATCGATGGATGAAAGGATATATTATAGATATAGATAGATAGATAGATGATAGATAGATAGATACAAAATATAGTGGTAAGGAGTTAAGTATTTTTCAGTGACTGGTGTAGTGAATGATGTTCTATTTTAAAAAGAATTCTAACAAAGAGTAAAACTGTTGAAATGTTCAGGGAAACCTTACTACAAATTTGATATCTTTTTAAGATGAAAGAAAAGGGAAGTGTGTTTTAATTGTAATTATTTTGTTGTTATTGCTGTGCTGTTGTCTTACTGTCCACCGCCAGTACTGCAGGGACGTAGAGATTCTCCACCATCAGAGTTCTGATGCATGCTGTGATGCTGACAAGTGTGACAGCACATAGGTGTGGTTTTGAGCAGCTGTTAGTGAGACAGGGAAGAGAGGTGCAGCCCATCTGTGCACTGCTCTTCTTGCTTTGGAAAATCAAAACAGGAAGTGTATCTCGACAATCACTAGTGACAAGGCTGAAAGAAATAGAGGAGGATTGAGACTTTTTGAGAAATGTTCACCTTTTTTCTTTTGCACAGTTTCCACACATATTCAAGCCACCGGGCAATGTGGCTGGTGTGGGACAAAGCAGCCCTGTCCCACACAATATCACGGGGGGCCTGGCTCCTTCCATCTTATGGTGCTTCTGTCCTCAACAGGGATGCTTCAGAGGGGCCCTAGTTTTGAGGGTCACGCATCAGGTGTTAGGGCCAGGACTGGAAGTGGTACTCTCACTTCCAGACAAAACGCCATCATGTCATGCTTACCTTATTGCAAAAAGAGAATGGGAAATCTCTTCTTGTGCATCTAGGACAAACTTGAAAGGTTTCAGGAACATATTGCATTGTCTCTGTCATACACAAAACTCTTTGGATTTCTTTCTTCTACCCTGCTCTCTTCAACCTAAGCTCGACCCAGCAGGTCAATAGAATGATTTTTAAATATTGAATATAATTAGATTATGCCACTTCTGTGATTGAAACTATTCAGAGGCTTTGTGATTGTTGCAGAGCAAAAGCTAAAATCATCACCATCGCTGGCATGGCCTTGCATGATTTGTCCCCTTATCTTGCGGAATTCAACTTTGACTGCTCTCTTCCCCACTCCAGCCATCCCAGGCTCCTTAAGGTCTCTTCTTTGCTGTGTACTTTGCCTGAAAAGCTCTTACCCAGATGACTCTATCTCTTACCTCCATCAAGTTCAAATTTACCTTTTCAGTGAATTTTACCATGGCCATCCTATGTAAAATGTTACTTGTCCCTCTACCCAATATCCCTGATCCCATTGACCCCGCTCTCTTTCTTCCAGATCACTTACCACATTTTCCCTAGTATTTAAGCTAGTATTTTGATTATCATCTATCACCTGTGTCCCCCACTTCCCTAGACAGTAAGCACCCTGAGTTGGTAGCCATGTCTATTAATGTCTATTCTATTAATATTAATTGTTGTTTGATGTGGAAAAATTATTATCATGAAGGAGCCAATCTAAACCACATCCTGTCTTTGAGTGTTCATCTATATTTTTATTCATCTATATATTTTATTTATAAACTTGAAATTAGAAAATGTTCCTAAGCAGGCCACCACCCCCAAATTCCCACTCTCACTATGATTTTTATCTACATTCTGTTCACCTTTTTCAGCCCTGTCAACTTGCCTTTAGAAAATTGTTTCTTTTTTCTCTTGCAATCTGTCCCTATTGAGTGTTTAGAAGTCCTAGGGGGAGTTTCAGAAAGTGTTTACAGAAGCTATTTATAAACCTCCCAGAGTCTCATCTGTTGACTGAATAGGAAAGTTGACATCTTTCCCACATTGGGAGTCAGATAAACAGGGGCAAGGTAAAGGGGAAACATGCCTCCCCGACCAGGTTCTAGCCTGAAGATCCCCTCGGAAGACGCCCAAAGAAATAAATGTTCCCATCTGTGACCGCCTCATTCCTGGACCCTTCTTGGAAGCCCTGAACTTGCCACTGAAAGCCCTGGGGAGTCATATCTGGAGCTATGCACAATCCGATTTCAGGGGGTTTCCTTGTTACCAGAATGTCATCTGGGCAACAATAGATGATTTACTTAAGGACATGCCCCCTTTTCCTGTTATCTTCACCCCTCTGTTTTCCCAAATAGAACCAAGTATGGGAACAGCCGGACATAAATCACTGCCTCCGCTCCCTCCAGCACTGTCCCTGACTCGCAGACCCCCTCTCTCTCTTGTGCTTCTTACCTGATAAGCATTTATGACTGCTTTTAGGTATTGAGTTCCTACAGCAGGCCAGGCCTTGTGCTGAGGGACTTGCAGGTATAGCATCATTTAATCCTCACATACCCTACGGAGTAGGTTCTATTATTTTTACACAGGAGGAGGCTGAGAGTCAGAGTTTAAGAGTCTCATCTGAGGTTATGCAGCTAGGAAGTGGCAGAGGTTGCCTCATAATAATGCACACTTCTTTTTTCTTAACTTCTCCATGAACGTCCTTTATCAGCTACATCATCATTTCTTGAAGGACACTGAGGGGTCTGCAGTATGTCACATCTGTGTGACCTTGAGCAATCCCTTTTTTCTCTCCAAAATCTAATTTCCCTTTCTGTAAAATAATATGACAGGGTTAAGCTTTGTTCATGCTCCAACATCCTTGGACTCTAAGGATGCAAATGATGGCAGCAAGTGACTTGCCAAATCCCCAATTTGTAAACTCACATACCTGCTTTTACTAAGTCTCCTGAGAAGGTTCCAACTGGCAATTCTATATGGCTCAGAAAGAGGAGACATCTCCACCCAGAGGTCAAGCGAAATAAGGCCAGATGTAGGGTTTGGCCACGGAGGTCCTAATAACCATGCTTCCCTCCCAGGATTGCTGAGGGGAACAAATTAGCCCCAGAGACAGGGTTAACCTCTGTCTAGCCCATCACAGCCAGTGCATGTAAAAGTTCACACATAGATATCCACAGTCCTCCCTTCCTTTCAGCCATAGAGGGTTGAACTCTTAGTGGGCATAACTCTAAACAGCAAAAGCAGTCAGAAAAGGAAGTGAGGTGATTAGCTTTTTCCCACAACAGTCTGACCATTAGTGGAATTAAACAAGAACAGAATTTCATCCCTTGCACTTGCTCTGCTGAGCCAGCGAGACCCAGGAAATAATGTCCATTGAAGACACTCATTTTGGGTTTTGGCCAGAGATTTTCAGTATTTATTTGATCTTGAGCTTCTCAGCTTTGGACTGAACATTGTTTGAAAGTTCCAATTAAATTTACTACTTTCTCTTCTCTTGAAGCAGATTCGTCTTTGGATAACCTCGAATAAGAGTGGCAAACAAAGACGTATTCAAAAACCCTATTTTACTTTCCAAAGCAATGGTCCCTGGTGGGGTAGTAGTCTTGACTTTTATTTGAATCCATGTCTCCATGCACAGAGGGAACATGCACCCAGAAATGTGCTTCCCAGCATGCTTTCCTCCAGGGTCATACTCTTTGGGGTATTAGTCATTCTTAACTCATAAGATCAAAACTAAAGCTAAATAAAAGCTAAAAATGGGTGATTTGTCACCTAGCAAGCACCAATAAAATGTAACCACATGGAAAAATGAGTTAAGCCATGCCTGTCTTTTTCTTAAAGATAATTCCCTCTGACGTCCCACGAGTTATCGTGTTTATTTCCATACAAATACTTTCTGACGCAGATAGCCAAGCCCTGCCCTCATTCCTCCTTTCTGAGTCCATGGGCACTTTCCTCACAGGAAAACGTTGCCGCACTGTTCTTTGGGGAGAATTGTGCTTTCTGATTGGAGCAGGTGCTGTGAACCTGAGCATACCAGGATTGGCACCACTCATCTGCAGCTGCCCACACATCCAGCCAGCACATTTCCCTGTCCTCTTTCTAGCCCCCAGTCCCCAATAAGACCATCTAGATGACTTCTAATACAACAGCAAACTCAAGTTCGGTTTTCTGAGCATAGACTTTGTAGAGAAGATAAACTTAGCCCTGGTCCATCGTTTCAAAAGATTATCTCACCTTGCCCAACTGTTGGTCTTCACCATGGGAACAATGGTCCAGGTGTAGACTTCGACCAGGGGTATTTTTATCTTCTTTATTACTGCATAATATGAATACAAATAACAAGAACACACACACAAAAAATTATTAACACTAACATGAATAAATATTGTTAGATAACACTAATAATAAATTCATGTTTCTATTAGCAATAGCTCTGATGTACACACTAGTAAAAACTTTAACATTAATAAGAATATACAAAACAGAAATAGACCCACAGACATAGAAAACAAACTTATAGTTACCAAAGGGGAAAGGGGGGTGGGGAGGGATAAATTAGGAGTTTGGGATTAATGTATACACACTACTATATATAAAATAGATAACCAACAAGGACCTGATGAATAGCACAGAGAACTATACTCAATATTTTGTAATAACCTATAAGGGAAAAGAATCTGAAAAAGAATACACGTATATATATGTGAATCATCTTGCTGTACACCTGAAAGTAACACAACATTGTAAATCAACTTCAATATACTTCAATAAAAAACAAACAAAAAACATATGCCTTATATTGAAAACTCACTCTGTATCAAGATTTCTCTTGCACTATCTCTGGGTAGCTGTGAGTGGATCATATAATCTTCATTTTACATATAAAGAAACTAAGATCCCAAAGCACTAAGTAACTTGCCTATATCATACAGCTAATAAAGACCAGGACCAGGGAGAATGCCCAGAGCTGACTGGGAAGCCCATTCAATTAACACTCTGCTTCTCTTCTCATCCATGGGGGTCAAGTAAACCATCCATTAGAACAGAGTGGGGTTTGGTCCTCTGTCTTCATAGAAGAATCTGCATAAGGGAAGATTTGAGTTGAACCTACAGCCTCCAGTTCTACTGGGTTTGACTATTTACCCTCCATTCTCGCCAATGCACAGCCAAAATCATCCAGTTGTGAACAGTCCTGCCTAAATGAACCGACATCTAGACATCATTTGAGCCAAATAGATGATGGGTCATTATTATGTATATTGGGAAAATGGGAGGGCTTGCAATCTTGTCTGTTAATCTAAGAATCATTGTCTGTTAATCTAGGAACTGAAGGAAGGAAAGACGAAAAGAGGAAGAAAAGGAGGGAGTGAAGGAGTGAGGAAGAGAAGGAAAGTGTAGCATTTATTTGTAATAGTAGTTAACATTTATTGAGTTGCACTAGTTAGTGAATTGCAGTAGGAGCTCTACATATGTAATCTCACTGAATCCTTCCAACAACCCTAATGCAAATGAGAAAGATGGCCCCTGCTGAGGTTAAGAAATTTCTTTAAGTCACACAGCTGGTAAGTGGTGGAGATGGGATTCAGACCCAGAGCTGGTTGCTCAGGGAACCTGCAGGTTTTAGCCCAAGGCAATAATGCCACATAGGTGGCAGGTGCTATGCTAGACACTTCACATGACACCATGCACACTGCTGCAGCACTTAGTACAGTATGTAGTGAGTGACTCTTTCCTCCTTCTATCCTTCATTCATTGTGACTCTTTAGCATGATATACAAGGCCCTGCACAGTCTGTTCTTTGCCTAAATCTCAGCCTTAGCTCCTCTCATTCTGTCATCTAGGCATGTTGGAGCCCTGGCAGAGTCTCACCTCTGGTTCATTGTCACATGTGTTAGCTTCCTGGAGCACCTCTCCCTGCCCATTCACTTAGCTTATTTCTTCATGCTTTCAAGATTTGGCCTAGGAGTTGCTTCATCCAGAAGTCTTTCCCTGGGTTGCTCTGAGCATGGCTTAGATGACTCCTTTGTATACCTCCTCCACATCCCAAGCTGCTTCCCACTGTAGC